TTAATTTTGCATTTGGAATGGGCCGTTCCATATGCAAAATTAACACATCACGAGTGCAGCAGAACGGGCCGTTCTGGATTCAGAACAGGTCGTTTCAGAACGCCAACCACGTACATACGTTCAGCAAAATGCCGTAATGTGGTTCAAAAATTGAAAATAAAAATTTATAACATAACATAAATTCAAAGACAGAAATATGGTTCAGAGACTGAAAACAAAAATTCATAACATAACATATACTAAGAAAGTTTAAAGAAATTACTAAGAAGGGAAATCATCTGGATAATGCTGAAGGTGCCAATAATACATCTTATCCACCATATAACATTGAATGGCTGGCAGGATATCAACATTATCTACCTGTACATGTAGTTGTGTGGTAAAATGTTGATCATGTGTGTCCTCTTCCACTACTTCAGGTTGTACCTCCTCAATAACAGGTTGTTGTTGTTGGAGTACATCGGTCAATGACTTCAAAGGAAAACACCATGTCGTTTCATCATTCACTGTATAGTGTTAATTTGGTAGTAAGTGATACACTCCAGTTTGACTAACAATGAAATAAAACCTGACACCATTGTCTTTAGTTATACACTGCATTGTCCTTAATGATACACTGTATAGCCCAAATGTTTAGCAATTGAAGTTATCAATCCCCATTGACAATATTACCAAATCCATTGTTTGAAATATTTTGTACCTTAGGTCTTTTTCCTTGCACGATTTACAACAGTGATTTAGAATCACGGACATGAACTATAATCATCAACCGTTTGTGTTTGGCATTCGGGAACCAGAACGGCCCATTCTGAAACCAGAACAGCCCGTTCTGGTTGCACTCTTGGTGTGTTAATTTTGCATTTGGAACAGCTCGTTCCAGGTGCAAAATTAACACACCAAGAGTGCAACTAGAACGGGTCATTCTAGTTTCAAAACAGGTCGTTCTGGTTTCAGAACGGGCCGTTTTGGTTTCAGAACGGGCCGTTCTGGTCCCAGATGTATTAAAAAAATTTGGCATCCACCTATGCATCTATGTGGCATCAACGTGGCATCCAGTTAACTCCGTTTAAATAATTTGGACGAAAGTCCGACATTGCATTAATTTAAATTATTAGGGAAAAAATTGAGAAAAAAAATTAAAGTGAGAATAAATTGAAAAAAAAAAATATTATAAGAGACCAAATTAGGTTTTTAACCAAAATTATATATTAATTATATTTTAGGAGTAGAGATGACAAATGAATTCATTTATCCATCATCTATCTAATTTATTGATGACTAAATCTATCCAATTCATCTATTACATTAAAAATAAATAATAAATTAATTATAATTCAGTCATTTAATTTTACGGATAGTTTGTAATTTATCAATTACTTTTCAGAATTTATTAAACTAGATATTAAATGTTTATTTGATTAAAATTTAAAAGACTATTTTGCTATTAAAAAAAATTGTGTATATTTTAAAAGATAATATATGAATATAATAATTTATATATAAAAAAATAGAGAAATAAAATATTTTAAAAAATATTATTTAATTTTTAAAACATTATTTTATGGATAGATTGAATATTCATCCATAATTTTTTTATTAATAGATGAATTGGATATTTTAAATATATTAGATGGATTGAATTTTATCTAATTTTTTAATAAATTTAAATAAATTTAAATAAATTAATAAATTATTTTTACCTAATCTATTATAATCTGTGGAAAAAAATTTATTCGATTGAAACATTTATTATCTCTAATTATATCACCCAAGAGACTTAAAAAACCTAATTCTGAATTCGGCATTTCATGCATATACATGTGGCTGATTTATTAATAAATGCGTAACCATCATATTGGCCTGTTGGATTCTTCTCCAACATATGCTTTAAAATGTTAAAGAATTATCGGAGAGCAAAAGTACTTTCTTCCTAATGTGCTATCCTCAATTTATGGACCACATAGTGATTTTGAGTTAGTATAATGTTAATTAATTATGATGCTGATCTTATTATGACATTAATAATTTATAGGTAACCTAAGTATTGTACGAATGGGGACAACTGATGGTATCTCGAGTAGGGCAAAAGCCGCAATTCCAGTCACTACTTTAATACCTATAAAGTCATTTTTTTTTTCTTTTGACTGCTTTTAAGTTTCATACATATTAAAAACCTTATTTGGTACACAAAAATTGTGAGCATAGCTGTCTAGGATGTGCTCAGTGCAAATTGGCATAATGTACTCCATTGTTTGCAGAGCTTAATTACGCATCACCTGGACCTGGATCATAATCCGGGGTAATTACGTACGCAGACGCGTAGCATTATGTTGCCTCTTGAATGTTACTTTTTTTTTTCTTTTAAAAAATGAAATATTTAATAATATAATATACTATATAAAAATTGGACAAATGTTGTTTACAAGAAAAAAAATTATAGGTAATTCTTTTCTAGTTAATCACCTATACACTGGACAACTAATTATATCTCTTAATTGTGTCATGTCACTGTTAAAAATAAATGTATTTACAGTGACATGACACAATTAAAAAATATAATTGGTTGTCAGTGTAAAAAAAACTTTATATTGACAGTGTATAGGTGATTAACTCATTTTTTCTTGTGTGACAACTCCTATAAAAAAATTATCGATTAAATGATTATTAAAAAAAACATTTAGTAAGTGTATGCTTATTTATAATAATATATATTATCTCTTCTTTATATATGTTGGTGTCGTATTAAATATGTGAATTTGTTATTTTTGATTATAATCCCATGAAACACATGCTTTTAATCATTTATAATGAGTCCATAAATGATATTTATGACGTGAATCACGAATCCAATTTAGTCGATAACCTATTAGTGATTATAAGTTCGACCAGATCAATAGAAAAAAAAAAGTGTACGATTGGATCGACACAACTTATTAGTGACTATAAGTTTGACCTGGTCAATAGGAAGAAGAGTCATACTATACTTAATCTTCCAAACTCAAATACTAGAGTATGAAAAATTTCGAGTCAATGTACTCGGTCGATTAGAGAGTTAAATGGTGCAGTAATAAAATTAAAATTTTCTCATTTTGTATGAAAAAATTTAAACATATAATTTATCTTATATTTTTTATTTTAATTATTATTTTAATAACTTATTTTAAGTTTTAATTATATACTTTACACAAAAAAGTGAGTTAATGACAAATTAATAAACTAAAAACATTTTAATATATTTCAATTAAAAATATACCTTAAAATCTTATAATAAATATTATTATTTTTTATAGTAGATTTAAATATAATAGAAAGTAATAGTATAATATTTACATCTCTCAAAAGATAAAAATTTAAATTATATATTTTTGTATTTTAATATATGAAAATGGGTAATGTAATATATGAAACTTTTTCATAGAATAAGGGGAGTTAATATAATTTACTTAAAAATATTTAAATTTGAATTGACTAAATTATATATTTGTTTGAATTGTTTTATTCTCACAATTATGATGTAAGTTTGTCTTTTATCTCTCAAATTTAAAAATAAAATTTTCAGTCTTTAAAATATTTTATAAAAAAATAGAATTTTAATGAATTTATTGTACAAAATTCATCTCTAAGTGTTTTTTGTAGGAAAATTTATCTGCAAGTGTCCTTGGAAAAAAATTATAAATGATTTATTTTCTTTCCAATAAATACACTTTTTATTCTAATTAAGTCATGAAAGATGTATTAAAAAGAATTAACTCATGACAGATCTGAAGAATGAAACATTCTCTCTCTTCAAGACACTATAATCTTTTTATTAGTTGTGTAAGTAACTGTTATGCTTGGAAAATGGAAAAATCAAGAAATGTAATAAATTTTTTATTTGATTTTGGAATGATTTTAATATTTTTTATTATACTTCCTTTCATTCTTATTTTATGATATATAAATATTGATTATCATGTATAAACTAATTAATTAAAAATTAAGTGAAATATAAAGATATAATTAATAATATAGTAATTAATAGTATCTTGAAATTTAAAAATAACAAGTAAATAAAAATATTTTTTATAAAAATTTCACAAATAAAAAAGGAGGCAGAAATAATTAATTTAAACTGGCCTGCCCGTAAATTAATTATGGTCCTTATATCCCGTTTACCGTTTATGCAGTTTTTTAAGTGAAGATTGCACAAGTCATTACAGCATGAAACCAATACTTTGATTTTTCTGCACTTGTATTCTCAGTTTTTTTTTCCCTCTTGTAAATGTGTCAGCTTCCACTCGTTAAATAAAACAGTGAAATATCTCAAGACGGGTGATATTTTGCATGGACAAATTAAGTAAAATCTTAAATATTTCAAACATGATAAAAATATCTGATTTGATGTAAATATTGATGTTTAATATTTATACTAACAGGTTAAAAAAAATTAAGCCACCAATTAATTAAAAATTGTATTAGAAAGTCATCAAAATTATTAAATAGGGAAGCTTCTCTAATTAATTAACAATAGTGTTTGTAACGTTTACCATATAAATATTTGAGCAGAAAAATATTTCGCTTATCTTAGGACATGTGATAATTATGCAAAAACTTTTACTTTTATTTTAAGTTAATTGACAGATATCAGAAGAAAAAAAGTGTGTCAATGATAATTTTATAAAATTAATTTTATTATTAATTAATTTTATTATTAATTATTTTTAGTTATAAACTATACAACACGGTAACAACTTTCTAAAAAGAATATTATTAGATGTATAAATACATTAAAATATAATTAATATTATATTGAAAAGTTAAAATATAACCTTTTATAACTTATTTTTTTTCTCTTACACGACAGTGACGACACCACCAAGAAAGAGGTCCTATGTTTAACCTAAATTTGAACATGAAAATATGGAAGAAACTTTAAAGCCACCCCCACCCGACACATGGATCAAGTACTTAGTGATGTAAGAAGTGTGATTGAAAATGGAGTTTCCATAGGAGTCTTGATATCTATATAAGCGTTGGCTCACACTCTTGGTCATTCACTACAATTTCAAGGCTTTTAAAGTGCCTTTCTCTCTCCCTTCCATTCACCTAAAAAGCTATCTCTCTCAGTCACACAAAACCTTTGAACTCCACAAGATGTCTTTCGAACTCTACTCTTTGTTTCTGCCACTATCTACGTGCTCAACAATACTGAGTCTTGATGTCCTTCTTGGACTCCTTTTTTTTGTGGGCGTGTTGGGCTACTGGCTTGCTCCCGGTGGTCTTGCATGGGCCTTATCTAAGTTTAGAGTGGGAACAGCTCTAAACAACAAAGCTTCCATTCCAGGACCTTCCGGTTACCCGGTGGTGGGCCTGGTTCCGGCTTTCACAGGGCCTCTTACCCACAGAGTCCTTGCTAAGTTAGCTCAGGCTTTTGATGCCAAGCATTTGATGGCTTTTTCCGTGGGCTTCACTCGTTTCATAATCTCTTCTCACCCGGACACTGCCAAAGAGATTTTGAATAGTCCCTCTTTTGCTGATCGTCCTGTTAAGGAATCAGCCTACGAGCTTCTCTTCCATCGTGCAATGGGGTTCGCGCCATACGGGGAGTACTGGAGGAACCTCAGAAGGATTTCCGCGACTCACATGTTCTCTCCGAGGAGGATTGCTGCATCCGGAGTGTTCCGAGCAAGGGTAGGGGCCCAAATGGTGAGGGACATCACGGGCCTCATGGGGAAACATGGTGAGGTGGAGGTGAGGAAGGTGTTGCATTTTGGGTCCCTTAACAACGTGATGATGAGCGTGTTTGGGAGGAGTTACGTGTTTGGTGAGGGGGGTGATGGGTGTGAGCTTGAGGAGTTGGTGAGTGAGGGGTATGATTTGCTTGGAGTGTTTAACTGGAGTGACCACTTCCCTTTGTTGGGTAGGTTGGACTTGCAAGGAGTGAGGAAAAGGTGCAGGAATCTAGTGGATAGAGTGAATGTATTTGTGGGGAAAATCATATTGGAACATAGACTCAAGAGGGCTGCTAAAGGTGAGAATAAAGTTAGGGATGTTGAAAGCTTTGGTGACTTCGTTGATGTGCTGCTAGAGATGGAGAAGGAAAGTAAGCTTCAACACTCTGATATGGTTGCTATCTTGTGGGTGAGTATATATGAGTATGTTTCATTTTCCTTGCATGTGTTATTAATATATATGCTATGTGTTGATTCCAAATATATATAATTTAACGTAATTTTCTTTACTTTTGGATCAGGAAATGATATTTAGGGGGACTGACACAGTGGCAATCCTTCTAGAGTGGATTCTTGCTAGGATGGTTTTGCACCCTGAAATCCAAGCCAAGGCTGGGGCTGAAATAGACTCTATTGTTGGGTGTGGGCGCAATGTGAGCGACGATGACCTTCCTAACCTTCCTTACGTGCGTGGCATAGTGAAGGAAGCCCTGAGGATGCACCCACCGGGCCCTCTCCTTTCGTGGGCTAGGCTTTCCATCCATGACACGCACATTGGAAACCACTTCGTTCCTGCGGGCACCACTGCAATGGTTAACATGTGGGCTATCACTCACGACCAGGAGGTTTGGTCGGAGCCGGAAGTGTTCAAGCCAGAGCGTTTTGTGGATGTTCCAATCAACATTATGGGGTCCGATCTAAGGTTGGCACCTTTTGGATCTGGGAGAAGGGTGTGCCCTGGAAAAGCGATGGGCTTGGCCACTGTTGAGCTTTGGCTTGCTATGCTCCTCCATAACTTTGAATGGATGCCACCAGATTCTTCTGCTGTTGTTGACTTGTCTGAGTGCTTAAAACTCTCAATGGAAATGAAACGACCTCTCCTCACCAAACCTATTCCCAGGCTTCTCCTCGCTGCTGCTACTACTGCTTCTGCTTCTGCTTCTTGTGTAAACAATGTTGGCTAAGTTGATCAAGATTCAAGGCCTTAGTTATATAACCTACGGGTTGGAGTAACCCTACCCACTCCAATCTAATTACTCCCCTTTATTATTATTGTTATTATTATTTATTTTCGGTTTGGCTTGGCTAATAAAATCCAAATTATTACATACATATTTTCACTTTTAATCTTCCAGCAACTTCTACATATATCTATAAATTTACTATCCTACATAAAATAAGGCTTCACTGATTAATTAAAAGTAAAACTATTTTAACTTTTTATCTATTAAAATTACAATGATAACATCAGAATTCAAATTTAGATCTTATGAATACTATTTTATTTGATATAAATAAAAGTGTTATAAGTTCTAAACAAGAACTAAATAGGTATAAATTTATATTAATCTTAAATTTTGTAAATGTAATCTTTGAATTATAATATTATATTATATTTTATATGTATATTTTGAAATAAATATATTACATTAATTTTTATTTATATGAATGAGTTAATAAATCTTTTTGAGTTAAAATAAAATTTTGTATATATGATTTAAGAATAAATTTTTTTTAATATAATAATAATTTTTATAAAATAATTATTTAATTGGAAGTTATTAAGTAGATTTGCTCTCATTCCTATATAAAAGCATTGATTCATTAAAAAAAAGTGAAAACAATTTGAAGATTTACATTTGGTACTAATTGTAACGACCCGTCTGGTCAATACACACAGCACAACACACTAGAATACTACACAGAAACGAACAAGTATATACATATAGGGTCTAGAATATATATATATATATATATACAAGGTCCAAAATCTGTCTAGAATAAGAGTGTACAAAATACATCAAAAACTACTACACTAAGTAGCTAAACATCAAAAGATCCTAGAAGATCCACTCCATCTGCCAGCTGCAGACTCACCATCAGTCACCTACCTATCCCTGCTCTGCTCCCATACGTAGTATGATCATCGCAGTCCAAACATCATGGAGACAACAAAGGGTAAACTAGTGTAAAGAAATCAACATACATATATAAATATGTGAATAGAAAACATCTACAGCTATCAGCACATCCGCACGGCTTATAATAGACCACAGAAATTCAGCAATATCAGCACCGCTCAGCGACTATAACAGCACCACAATAGTGGCTAATAGCAGCACCGACATAGAGGCTAAAATAGCACTACAATAGTGGTCATACACAGCATACAGCTCAGCTAACACAGCACAACCAAACAGCTCACAACACAGCACAGCTAATCAGCATACAGCACGGCTAAGTAGTATTCAACACACCTTACTCCTCACAACTCAACTCATCATTCTAGAGCACAACAATAATATAATTTTAGCATTTAAAAATCATCAATAACAGCCCAGCTTAGCACAGCAATATCGGCATCCAGCACAGCTAAACAACTTACAGCACAGCAATATCAGCATACAACAATTAGCAGCTTACGACTCAGCTAAACTACTTACAGCATAGCCTAAACATCCTTAATCAGCAATAACATCTAACAGCACGGCATATTCGTCAGTTTCAGCTCAACAACATAATTCAGCGTTATCAACTAGTTAGCACAGCAATATTTAACAACTACAGCTCAGCTCAGCATAAAACAACCTCTCTCAACAATTTCAGCAAAGTTTAACAACTAATAGCACATCAAGTCAACATCCTCCTACGCGCCCGGCGCACCCATGGTCGCGCCCAACGCGGCTCAACCAGAGAGCCCCAGGGGCCAACGCGCCTGGCGCAAGAGTTCCCGCGTCCGGCGTGCCTCAGCCAGAGAGCCCAAGGCTCTCACGCGCCTGGCGCAATTCAGATTGCGCCCAGCGCATGCCAGGCAGAGACTCCAAGGAGTCTCACGCGCCCAGCGTGGCCTGACCCGCGCCCAGCGTGGGGAAGGCAGAGACCTACCAAGGTCTCGCGCCCGGCGTAATTCGCATTGCGCCCAGCGCCCTTTTGGCAGAAGGAGCCTCCGCGCCCAGCGAGTCCAAACGCGCGCCCAGCGCGGCACCAAACACCCAAAACAGATCACCATTGATATCGCGCCCAGCACAGCTCAAATCACGCCCGGCGGGGGCCAACCAGAGACTCCCATTCTCAAGCTCGCCCGGCGCACACACCTTTGCGCCCGGCGGGCTTGCCTAAATAGAGCCTCTTGGTGGTCACGCGCCCGGAGCGAAGAACAGCGCCCAGCGCGAAGCTCAGCAGCAACACTATTTTCGAAAAACTTCACCAAATCCTGCAAAAACAGCCAGAAAACCAGCATGCAACTCAGCCAAGAGTTCCCATTTTCATCAACCATTCCAAAAATCCCAGCTTTACCCACATGCAGCCACAATCAAGAAAACCTCAAGATTTTCATCAAAACCCCGGAAACCCCAAAAAACCGTTTTCATCAAAACAACACAATATTATACAAGACGACTTAAATATCATGATTCAGCATGAACATCCCACAGCACAACTCATCATTAATCAGCTCAACAAAGAAATTCAGTATTAGCATCATACAGCACGGCTCAACGTTACATCATTAACAGCATAAACAACATACTTCACAACTCGACTTTTCATCATACAGCATTAACAACATTAGTCAGCATAATCAACCACTTTACAACATAAACATGTCCACACATATAGCAACTTATCAACTTAACTTCAACTAGCTTCCCTTACTTGAAGATTGGATCAGGATAGCCAAGAAGCGGAATCCCCTTTCCGAAGCTCAGCCCGAAACTTCAATCCCTCAAAAGTCAGCTTTCTAGTCAAGAGCCATTCTCTCTAGAACTTCTCTCTAAAAAAAACCTCCTTCCCTCAACTGCCCACAACCCCTATTTATAGACATTCTGGAGTGGCCAGAACGGCCTGTACGGAAACTGGAACGGCCCGTTCTGCACCTCCTCAACACATACAAAAATTACATGCAGAACGGTCCGTTCTGAAATCAGAACAGCTCGTTCTGGAACTCATCCAGAACGGCCCGTACTCCCCTCCAGAACGGCCCGTTCTCAGCTACGATTTACTGGTCATTTTAATAGCTTGGAACGGCCCGTTCCAGATTGGGAACGGCCTATTCTGGGCTACTAAAACACCAACTTGCTACGTCACACTAATTAACTATAATCTACGGTATAGTTATAATGTGGATTTATGTTTTCATCATAGTATTATTGGTTAAAAGTCATTAACAATGACAACTAATTTGAACTAAATGTTTTAGAATAAAATAAATTTAAGTCATTAACAATGACAACTAATTTGAACTAAATGTTTTAGAATAAAATAAATTTAAAAAAAAAAGAAGGAAAAAGTAATACAAAAGTAAACCGGGCCTCTAAGATTGACTTGGTAACTAGAAAATCTTAAATTCAAATTTTATTCTCATTGTTATAATTTTTCCTAATGATAAAAATAAAATTATCGTTGGTGTTGATTTATTTATCTCTTTTACATGTTTTGGAGTTGATGTTCACTCCTTTTATGGTTGAATTTCATAAATTTATATTATTCATAAAGGAGATTTTTTTTTTGGATATACACAGATTTTAGACCATTCACTCTTATAACTATTATTATAAGTTACTTTCTTTATCATTATCATTTATTTATTTATTTTCTCTTTTTTTTTACCTCAACAATATTTAGCTTTCAAATCTCTTGTCTTTTAAGTAAAAACTCATTATTTTTTATTTTTAAGTAGAAATGCCCAAACTGCTTTTTTTTTTCTTTCTAGTTATAATGTTAATATTTTTTATAAATTATATTATTTATATAATAACTTTAATATTACAATATTTTTCTATTTTCGTTATCACGTTAATTATTTTATATATATCACGTTAAAATTTCTCTATTTCTGTTCTGTGTAATGAATATGGTATAAACCACACAAGTTTGAACTTTAAAAAAATAATGCATTATTTATCTAGCTTTTAACTTGGTTTATAACGAGTTTGAGTACTCTTGTACTAAATTAGGGAACTAAATATATTTTATATATACTGATAAAAAAAATTACTACTATAACGGAGTAAGACACTGTCTTTAAACCATTGACTTGTATAAAAAAAAATTGACTAACTACAACTCTTAATAGTTTTTAACTTTAATTAATTATGCTATAAAAACTAATCATTTATATAGAACTATAATTATTCACAAAAAAGAATGGTGACGTGCATACAGATTTATTTGCCGCTGGGAAACATATATACTTTAAGATCAAATGGCAAAAAAAATATAGAAAGATTTGAGCTTTAAGATATTATTTGGGACATAATAATAATAATAATAATAATAATAATAATAATAATAATAATAATAATAATAATAATAATAAAGGGGAGAGTGCAAAAAATGAAAATACGAGAAGACTGTGATCTTATCCCTTGTTTTATTTGGATAATAATTGTAAATTATGAAAATAGATAAACAGAAAATTATAAAATTAAAATATAATATTATGAAACAAACACAAGATGGAGGGAGAAAGAAAGTTGGTCAGTGACTTAGCATGCGTGATGTACGTAAAATAATTAAGCTATCAAACTAATGGATTTTATGCATGTTATATCATGGCTGCATCATTTTATCCTGCAGCATCACTTTTTGAACGGTCCTGAATTGTGTGGAGATAAAGATGAACGGATATCTCATGTGATTTGATATTTTGAGAGAAAAAAAAATATGGATTAAATATATGGTATGATGTGATAAAAAAAATTATAATGTATAAAACAAAAAATAAGGGATGTCAAATGAATGTTTGTGAAATATAATATATGAAATATCATATATCATATATTAATTTATTCCTCCGGCTATGAACTAGCAAGTAGCGTGATGATCATAAGAATTTCACCTTTTCCCCTAGTTTATCGTGACCTTGCAGAAACTTTAAAAATGATTGGTAATATGGGATATGCTATACGGGTTATGCTCTGATGCATAATTCTTGGTATTATTTCCTCGATTAGAATATTTAATTTGGCGTATATTTTGTCGGTTTTAATTCTCCTTTATTGCAGAATATTGCCAAATCATATCAAAGATATGAGGGAGATAATTTAGCCTGTATACTTGTATATAATTACCTATTGATCAATAGAATAAATGACGATTCTTTTCCATAACATTGTTATACATTTTTAAAATTGAGAGATTAAGATAAGATAAATGAATTTAAAAGAACTAAAAAAGAATTTCAATAATTTTAGAGGGATTAAAAACTATTTTATCCTTGTTTAAAAGTAAATGATTATCAACTTAAACCCTAATTTGGACAAAACGGACCAACAAATCAAGTAGTTTATACGTAAACTAGTATATTATCTTCGTAGGACGTAATAAAAGATATAGATTATCTTAGTTACTAAAATAATATATTAATTAAAAATTATATTGAAATTTAAAAATTAATTTTTATCCTTATGGTAAAAACCCAACATACATTCACATCTATCTTGTTTCCAACCCTCCTGTGTGATGAATGATGATGTCGTCAAAAAGTGCGGCTAGTCAAAGCGCTTAGCTGGGTGCTTACATTTTTTTAGTGACTAAAGAACAGTTTCATCAATGAAATCTAAAAGACAAGATCTATCAATAATCAACTTTAAAATCGCGGAAATTTTGTCATCATAAAAAAGAAATCCATTGATTCTCTTTACTGTTTGTAATTTGTATCACCATTTCACGCATGCATGCACCAAATACAACTGCTCCACTTCAAATAAATAAATGAAAACGATTTTTGGTAACTAATCCATCATACACGATAGATCAAATTACATTAGAACCTCCTAAGACGACACTTTGTTTTTTAATATTCACACTTAGTTACATCTTTTTTTTCTTCTCATTCATACCTCACCATTTGTTGCTTCTTATCACCTAATTTTTAAAGACGTGTAACATGCTGATTATGACGTGTCATTTGATTCCTGACATTTTATTGTGCCTTTTGTCATTAATTATTTATGATTTACTGAATTTTGTTATCTAATTTTTAAAATTATACATTTTGTCATTTAACTTATAAAAATTTACATATTAAGTTACTTTGTTGATTTCCTATCTGATATTATTAATTGATTTCTAAAGTAACACATTAATTACTAATGTATCATTTAACTATTAATATGATATAATGTATTGTGCTAATAGTTAACGTGAAATGTCACTGATCAACATATCATATTAGCAATTAACTATCGACTCCAAAAAATTAATTAATAAAGTGATAAAATGTGTAAAATTTTCTAAGTTGGATGATAATAAAATATACAATTTTAAAAATTGAGTGAAACAATTCACAAAATTGTGAAATATGAGTGACAAAAAGTACAATTAACCCTAATTTTCTAATTAGTCCCTGTCAAATGAGAAAGTTTCAATTTTATTCCTTACAAAAAAAGATTTTTTGTTTTTCATGCTTCTAAAATTTTTTAACTTCATTTTTTATCTTGTAAATAAGTTTTGATTTTAATCTTACATAACATTTTTTTTTATAATTTTTATCCCTCTAAAATTTTAAATCACTTATTTTATCCCTAATGATTCTAAGGTATATAAAGAAGATTTGTTTCAAGGATTTAATTTTTTTTAGAGATATGAACTACTAACATTATATTATTAATAATTACATATAACATTTAAAATAGTCATTTAATCTTTAATAAATAATCAAGTGATTAAAAATAACCACGACTAAAAAAATAACAGTAATTCCAAATTTTAAAGTAAAAAACAAAGAAAAAAAATATGAGAACCAAAATCATAATTTATTCATTTCATAGGAACTTAAAACATATTTAAATATATCTTTATTATTTACAAAGATAATGTGTGAAATATATCTTTCAAGGAACGAAGGGCATTGAGAATGTTTTATTGTGACGGTAAATAGAAAAAATAAGTCTCACTGTCCAAGTAAGTTATATATTCCAACTATAGAATAATTAAAAGTAGATTTCATACTTAATAATATTAAAAATATTTTGTATGTGTTGTTTTAAAAATTATTAAAAAAATCAAAAGTAAAAATATGTTGATATTTATTATTGATTTTTTATATAAAAAAAATCTCTTTTCTCATCCCATTACTTTAGGATTAACAAAAGTGTATTAAAAAAATGACCACCTTTATAGCTGCTAATATAGAGTAGTCTAGAAAATGAATAATATGGAACGAATTCAACCACTCCACAAAAAGTAATTAAGATCATCCTATTTGTATATTAAAGTACGCAAACCATTTCATCCCCAGATTTTGTTCATCTACGACTTGAGTTTCTCCAGCTTTTCAGTTCACGTGTTGATCGAAAACAATATTCTTCATGCTAAAAATGAGTCACACTAGTAATGATCAAAACCAGACTCAAGGTAGCATTTCCATTTGACGCGTACGTTTTATAACTTTTACAACCTGTGGTCTATCTATCGATTTTGAACTTGTGCTCTTATTGTTTCTAATGTTGTAATATATATATATATACAAACTATGTAGCATACGAGTCAAAGGACATTGCACCGGGACCTTATCAAGTTCCACCCCCTCCACCTGCTATCACACACCACCAGAACCTTCCCACTAACCAAGAAACTAAATTCAAGGGTCATGGCTTCTGGAGAGGATGGTATTTATATATTATATTCTTAATTTCTTTTACAACCTATATGCATATAGTTACATGCATGTTTGTGAATTGAACAGCGATATTTGACTAAATTATATACATTCAGGGTCAATTTCTATACAAGCTATCATTGTATTTAAATTTAATCGATTTCATTTGAATGAAAACTATAGTTATATTTCAATTTCATATATATATATATATATATATATAATGACC